ATTGAAGAACACTATGAGGATTCAGCTCCACGACTACAACAGGCGATATATGTAGATTTATCTCCAATGACGACATATCACTCCTCCAACAAACGGTGATTAGTCGTCTGGTCAGTAGGTGACTGCCAAAGCTTGCCTTGTCCAGCTAATGTCCATTCTTTTCATCGCCTTCGGCAGGATGGGAAAATGGTGTCCAACGGTTATGATGGGCATCGCTGTCAAGAGGGTATAAACACGGAGGGAGCAGGATGGATCGAGTGGTTTGGAGAAGCCCCGACCTGATAACGTGGCTTCGAAGGCTTGGTGCAGGTCAACGGGGTATTCTTTAGTGAGGCTCTCCGAGCGTGTCGACGTTTGCATTCCTCAACGCAGTGACCTGGGTCCTAGGACATATTCCAAGGTGTACTAGCGCGTGACGTCCGAGTGAGCTGGATGAACCAAGGAAAAACGGACAATGGGTGTCGTTGAGGAATATCATGTGTGAACCTGGAGAATGGTCAATAAAAAGAGACTAGAAATAAAGGCACACACGCACTATAAACTCAACCTCACTGCCATACCCTGAATCGCCTTGATAGATGATTATGGGTAGCAAATGGGGAGAACGGGCGCCGACGCCTTCGATTCGTCAGCCAGCGTACGGGCCGTTTATCCGATTCATCGTCTACGACTAGCCTCGTAACTGCTTTTCCCATTTATTCCCCATTCTCCGCTCGCTCCTTATGTGTTCTGACTCAAGTGTGTGAAATAACTGTTTCACTGATTGTTTGTCCACGCTCAGTTTATGTTAGGCTCCTTTGGGGCTTTTCCGCACGAGCGTCTGTCAGGTGCTGATCCTGCCTGGCGAGCCTCCGCGATCCTAGAAAAAAGACGACGCTAAGTATACTAGCAGCATAAGGTACTCTTACTACTACTACAGCTGCCTAGCTCAGCGGCGTAGTGGGACACCGCAGTTCGAACCTGCCTAGTAGCATGGTTTGTTCCGTCATTTTCCTTTTTCTTTTTCGCCCAAGCCCGAAATGCTAATATGTATCTCGGGCACAGTCGGTCTATATCTGGTTCCATACAAGGCCGTATAGGTACCAGGCATGTCAGAGCATTGGGAAAGGAAGGGTTTGTCTAGATAAATGCGCTCAAATTCTTAATCAAAGTCAAATCAGAATAGGGAACTGACTTCTGAAAATGAGCCTCGTGGATTCCATTCAGGGTCATTGCGATAGGAATGTAATGTACCTGAGTGCCCCTTGGGTAGTCCAATTAAGCTCGGCCAGTCGGGGATGATAGGAAGACTACAACTCAAGTCAGAGCTACCGCGTGCTTGACTGAATGAGCGAAGACAGAATGTAGTAGCACGGATAAATAACCTGACTTGTAGTTTGAGATAGATCTCTTCTGAATTTCATACTTAGAGCGATGATGACAGACAGCCTAGATCAAGGGCAGTCGCCACAGGAGAAAAGAGTCATTTGGGTTTGATTGTAAAGAAGTCAGACTGTTGAGGTGATAGAGAATAGAAACCCAGAGTAAACCATACACCGACCGTCTTTCAAATTTCAGATCCTAACGAAGGGCGGAGAAGAAAAAGTCATTCGGGAAACTCCGAGGCAACGTAGGACAAATCGGGGCAATGGTCCATCACTACCGCCATCATCAGGTGGGACGTTTACCTTGCCGCTCCACACGCATGCGCTGTTCGACATATCCTAATTTCCTAGAACCTTGCATTCCTCATGCTGACGTTCAGCTTGTGAACACGACTCCCCCGTTATGTCAAGTTTAGAACGTCTGCCAAAACAGATACTGATGATGCACTTCCGGCTGTGATCAAGGAAGTCTCGTCATAATACATTGCTCTATCGAGAGGCTGTCTTGGTACTATCCTCGCCCATCCTTGCTGCATTCTGGGCTTCTCCCAGCTACCTCCATCGAGTAATTCTAGTCTGTTATCACACCTCACCTCATCGTCTCAATGTGTTACCAGGTCAAATATGCCTAACGTCACCGTTAATCCCCTAAGCAATCACTCTTTCATACCCTCCGTCGGTGATTATCTCGCTCCTGTACGAATACCTTGCGCATGAGAGATTTGAAAAAAAAGAAAAAACAGCACTGCTCTCCCGTGGTGATTTCTTGTCTTTGTTCCACCTTGAATTGGTATCCCTTCTACCGTTCCGGTATATCTCATTCCCGTTCAACCCTCTCGCGCACGAACAAAAGCTTGGTAGCATCATGCTTGTTTGAACTTTATCATATCCGCAGTCCTCCCCATCAGCACGACATTGTATTTGACCCACCACATTTCTCACATCTGCCTTCATCCCCAACCGTGATTAGCAACCCTCGACGATCTCTTGTTTCCGGACATGCTTGCTCTACATCGCGATTAGGATTACTACTCATCGAAGTTCTACCCTCTACTCCCTTATTCACTACGCGAAACCATTACCCTTCGAAGTCGACGATGATACTAGCCTCTCTATATGCCGGCCGTGACTCGGCTTCTTTCTTGCTTCGCTTGTCCCTTCATTCCCTCGCCGGCACAGGATGCACGCTTACTTCAGTGCAGTAGAAACGCGCTGACGTATTCTTTCTAGAAACGCTCCTTCCGTCAAATTATATTGCTCATGTATTCATGCATTAGTTTTGTACGCTAATCGATCATCAAGTTCTGTCGGCACTGCACGAACTCGTCCTAAGCCGAACATCTTTCCTCACACTACCTCGAAGCTGGGATCACCATTGCCCAAGTGTACGACTTCGATACCCCTCACATCTCGTGTGACTTGACATGTATATCTCGGGGTGTTCCTCCTCTTGGGTTCGAAGCACTTACTTGTCGTCGTCAGGTATGTCCGAAGACTTTTGAGTTTATTCTCATATTCGCCTTGAGCTGATCTTTGTACAGCGGCTCTGGAATGCTTTCTCAGAGATAGTCTTGTACCTCTTTCTTTTTCAGTCCAATGTCTGCCGCCAGTGCTTTCTTATTGTCATACGCTGCTTCATTCGCGAGGATCGTCTATTCGCATTCATTCCCTACCGCCGGTTCTAGCTTTCGGTAAGGAAAAAATAGGATCCTCTTTTAGCTGCTTTGCCACCTGTTCCTTCTCTTCAAAGACGGGATCGGGCCTGTCGTGTGAGGGGTCAGGTGGAACGGCGACCTATGTTAACAACTCACTGCCGTGTGCGATTCAAACATTGTCATCGTTTTCTCCGGTTTCTCTCACAGGTGCCTCGTATTTCTTCCCTCGCTACTTGATCTCTACTGCAATTGAGCTTTATCAGCTGCCGATCAGGAGCTGGTGTCGCATTATATCAACCTACTACTACTCTTCTTTGCATCTCTTCGTATTTTTGATCTGTCGGGTCACATTCAATACTTCGCTGATATTCTAAGGATACACAGTACTCATCTCTTCTCCGTTTAAATGCTGACCACATGGGAGTCTCGGACCTAGCGCTCTGGCTTGTTGAGTTCGGGAATGCGAACAGTTGCCTCCCACATGAAACCCCGAATGCCCATACTTAGCCGCAACAAGGTAATGGCCACAGTAGTTTCTCTTCACATTTGCATTGTTCAGAAATTCCGGAGGTTCTTTGTTTCAATATCCAGTCTTTGAACCTTACTTGACAGTTTTAATCAGTCCTCGAACGGTGGGCTAGACATTAATTCCGCTAAAGCTTCTCTGGGAGATTCGCGCGCTTTCTTCGCCTTGATCTAACTTCCAACTCGTCCCTTGTACAGATATCACGGTTTCTTCCTCCTGGCAACCATTCTCTTGAGTTGGATTCGAATCTCCTTCTGTCTTGCCGTTCCTGTGCTTCTGTAAATATTTTCGCTTAGGCATTTCGATACCTCCGCGAAAGCCTCCGCTCCAAATAACTCACACCTGCGTATCTCTCCCCTTGTACACTTCAACAAGTACTAGTCTTGTTGCTGGTCGGCGAGCCCAGGACAGAATTTCTCACATACAGAATCCCGGATCTGACGCAAGAATCGACGTCATGGCAATCCAAATTTAGCGAAGGTCGAACTCTTGCTATCCTGCGTGTGCCTCTGTCTTGAAGGTCATCTACGCAACTCGCATGTTTCTAAAATCCAGCAACACATGTGTCCATCGAGTCTATTCTCCTCCGGTTTAATACCGCCGGTAGGGTCATTGTACTTTTCTCACTCCCTGGCATGACGGCCCTGTCTATTCACTGCTACTTCAAGTCTCGATTTTACTCTTTTGTCACTACAGCTGGGCTTTCCCACAGAGATATCACCGCTCTTCCGCACATTAATTATCGACCGGTGCGTTGAACTTTATCATGGCCCCAGAGTCCTCATCATCAACCACGAGTTAGGTCACGAACATCTGCAACTATTTATAGATAAATGTATTTGCTACCATCTCATTTATGTTGCAAGGTTTCCCATTTAGTAGTGTGTCGCACCAAGACCTTCATCCTAAATGGAATTTCGCGACCCAATTTATTGTGATCCCTCGCTGATCTGCTTTTCCCGGCCGTGTGAAAGAATTTCCGCAGGAGTGCTTCCCCTCGATCATCGTGGAGAACCGTCTTTTCCGTCCTTTAGGTTCCCAGTACTCCCTTGTCCACTAGGCACAGTTGAAGATGACGCGCTGCACGCAACTCTTGCTGGTTAAGTATTCCAGACCCATTTCACTTCACCGTCTTGTTTTGTCTTTGCAACATTACGAAAGAGTAACAATCAACCTGAAATTATGCTTTTCTTCAGTATGCGACAAACGTGCCGAGCAATTGAGTCAGGCTTGAGTCTCCCAAATTTGAAGGCTGGTTTTCCTCAGTATAGAATGACAATGTATTCTATCCAAAAACAAACATTTTCGTATGAGTCTTGTGCACACTTCCCGTTCATTTAACGTTTGGACAAGTGCCCCGGGTTGTGAAAACACCATGGTTTAAGCCAGGACGAGATACAGAAGGTTTGTCTTATCAGGTCGTCAACAATATCTCTTTACCTTCGAGGTTGCCGACTCTCTGGCTGGGAGTCGAACCCAGCCTGTGCGCGCGAGATCATCGACAACACTACAGGAGCGTGTACTAACCGATATGGTACCAGAGATATTCAGCTTTGATTTGAATAGTAGTCTGTCGTGGTGTCAAGCAAAAGAGGCCTAGAGTTGACCAGCTAATGGAAGAACTAGTACTCGGTTGGTCTTAGTGGTGCAGTAATTTATGGGCTATTGCAGAACACTTGAATATTCGTATCGTATGAACAACTTGCAAAAGAGACAGAGAAACAAGTGTCCAGTATCGAAAGGAAATCACTGCCGGGTCAGGCGGACCGGCGGTCCGCGTTGAACATCGCCACCATGCGTGGGTTCAAATGGCATGATCGTTCTTTCCTCTGATTTGGCTCAGATTTCTTCTCTTCCTACTTGGGAGCAATGCTACATGTTTACTCTCAGTGCCACAGATAAGGAGTTGTTACCGAGCCAACATTGATTTCAAGCTTAGGCTGCGTAGCGGTCCTACTACTTAGCCTGATTCTTTTCCTGATAACTGGTGGATCATTTCTAACTTTTCTATGCCAGGTCTCGTGTTCTTGTACTTTACCCTTTTTCTGATACTCGCCTTTCCCAGGTTTAATCTCACGAATTCAGTATTCACATCCCTTCACAATGTGCTTCCCCATCAGAGGAACCTTTCCGGTCAAACTTCTCCTTCACCGGCACCCTGTGCTCTTCGTACTCACCACACGGAATTTTCGATCCCAGCTCCTTGTCTGCTTCGTGCACAAGGACCTATCTGCGGTCCAAGTACCATCGCTTACGCCCCTCGCATTCTTCTATATAGGATTCCCATTAACATCCACGAGTCGTATTACTCTATCCCGCAGCAACCTTTCTTCCCAAAACGATCGAGGATTCAGCAACGTGTACGATCGAGCGATAAGAACAAAGCTCGTCAGCTCAGATTGACTCTGCACCGTGTAGCGATTTCTCTCTAGATCAATTATCCTTGTTTTCATATCTAGTCTTTGAACTTTCCTAATGAATACTCGAGCGATGGGGCTAGAAATTAGAGTTCTTCTAAGGCTTCTCTTGTAGACTTACACACGCGCTTTTCTTACTCTCATCTAAGTTCCAACTCGTCCCGTGTAACAAATAACACACATCCTTTTCTCCTGGTAACCGTTCTTTATCTTTCCGTGCCTGTCGTGTTCATTGGTTCAGGCATTTCGATCCCTCCGCGCTCGGTCTGTCTAATCTTGTCACGAAAACGGCTAGCCTACCCCGGGGGTTTCTCAAACTTCGATGCTGCCAATCACCAGGCTTGGATACATGTTATCCTATGCGTGCCTCTTTGATAGCCGTCCGCTCAACGCACATGCTCCTGCAGCACTTGTCACATGGGGTCAATCGAGTCTATTCTCTTCTGATGATTGAATACCGCCGATCGGGTCTTTTCGCTCCCTCTCTGGTTGTCGGGACTCGGCCGTGGTCCCCACAGCCACCGCCACTCTGAGCCTCGACTCTCTACTTTTCATTCGGCAACCTTTATACCCCTTCCGCCCATTAATTATCCTCTCCGTGAGAGCTGATAATTCAATGTCTTCCCCCGCTGCCTCGTGTGGGTGCGAGAAATTTCCTCATTTTTAATTACGTGGAATCTTCGGAATAAATTAACAACTCGTGTTTTCAATATTGCTCGCAAGAAAAGACTGATCCGCGGAAGGTCCTTGAAGGTTTCGCGTCCGTGCTCTCTCCCTTGCTTGACCTTGGCTTGTGTCTAAAAAACTTCAAGCAGAGAAGATCAGTAGACTCGACACCTGTGGCTTTCAAGTCGAGTCTCGACACCGCTATTATGTATAAGCACTTCTCTCCGACACTCCCGCTCGCTTACGGTCCCGCCAAAATCTATAGATGCTTCTTTCTGTGTGGCCACCGTTGTCCCTGTCTGCCCGATGTCGTCACTGTCGACACCGTGACTCGATCAGGCGTTCACTTTGCGTTCAATCACTTTACCCTGGATCACTTCCCGATGTCGTATCCTAGCTAATTCGTCTGCTCGTAACCCTCTGCCCCGTCGTCTAATCCCTCGTTGGGTCCGTCTCTCTGACTCTGAGAGTCCGAGGTCCAGGACGTCATAGTCGTCTGGCTACCCGATGTCATAATCTGTGTCTATTCCCTCGCTAGGTCCAATGCCGATATGCCCTTGGCCCGTCGTCTTGTATGTCGTCACCATTAATCGATCAGTTTTGCTTACTATCACCTCGGGTGATTCTTTTTTTTTTGTGGCCATGACAGTACATTCGCCACCGCCAAGTCACTATGCCATTTCATTGTCTGTGGTGAATTCTTCTGCTACCTGGGGGAATGAATCGTCGTTCTCATTCTGATGTAGGCATGGAAGTGGAATAGAGTTGGTCCCTCCAATAACCAACGGCATACCGTGACCTATTTCCAAATTCAAGATCCTTCGTGCATATTCACACCGCGTAACCACTTAGATACACGTCCTACTGCCGCAATATATGAATTCTTTTTCAATTTCAATTTATTTTATTTCGGCCGTTCGTGAATCGTCTCTAGTACTAAATTACATGAACATCCGGTACAACACAGAGTCCCTCCGTGTGTAATACAGCGTGAGATAACCAAGAAATACGCAACACAGATAGGGATAAATGACAGGGAGAAGGGAGTGAGGGGGGATGGAAAGGACAAGTAAGTATATACAAGGAATGAATAATAATAATAAAGAACTCTACGCCAGCGAGAAGCCCTCCCAATGCCCAATACCTGGCTGGGGGAAACTGAAATCCATGAGGTCGTTGAGATACTCGTTCGGAAGATTTGTCGAAAGATAATAGTCGATGGTGTTATCGACCATTACTGGACTGGGCTCTGGGAAGAAGGAAGCCGGGGAACGGTACTCAATGGGAGAAGTACAAGGAGTGTAGTCATAGGAATACGTTTCGGCGGGATTTGGGTAGAGGAAGGAAGAAAAGTCGGACTGGGCAGGAGAGAAGTCGGACTGGGCGCCGGGAGAGAAGCAGTCGTACGAATTGGGAGACTCGGGGTAATACGAAGCATTGTTATCGGTGCAGAGCGAGCTGAGAAATGCTGTGTCAAGATCGATGACTGGCGCCTCACGCTCAGTGGGCACGATAGGCGCCGCTGGCTCAAGAACAAGGGGGGAAGGAGGGGGAGTCGAACGTTCACGTTTCTAAGTCAATCCGTCAGAATATTCCGCCGAAAACAAACAGGGAAAACATACCACGGAAGACGTCTTTCTCCGCCTCTCCTCCTTGCCCTTTTCCTGTCGAAATGCACTTTCGGTAATCGGTACCTCGAATCGCGTGATGATCTCCGGGACGTGGGTCTTGTCAAACTCTTTGATCGCCTCGTCCAACTGTGCGCCCTTCAATCCTTCCACGAGCAGCTCGGCAATCTTGGCGCACCTCTTCGTATCCTTCGGTTCAACCTCCCGTACCTTCCGCCGCCCCTTCGTTCTAGTCTCTCCACCTTCTTTACCGGGCCGAAAAGCATATCCGGGGAATCGCCGCCTGTGCTCATCGAGCGCCGCACGCGCCTTGTCGTGCCATACCTGCCTCTCGCCCTCTGGAAGTCCCTGCCATGTCATCCCGATGATCTTGGACAGGGTCGAGTGGTTCGTTTCGACGTCGGTAGAGACATGTTGAGATTTAATAAAAGACGAGCGAAATAGGATGAAAGCATTGGGTGGGCGGGGGATATGTGTCGGGGGTTTCTTTTTACTGTGGCGGGGAGACTGGGCCGGTAAGTGGGTGTGCGAGGAGGGAGATGAAGGCAGGGTCCAAACGATCTGAGTACCCATGTCGCTGGAAAGTGTTTTAGGCATCGCAAGTCGGAGGGGGGAGGTGTCGCTGGGGAAGAGGATGTGAAGTAAGTGGGGGGGAGGTAGGAATGATTAGATCTCGGATTTGAATGCAAAAGCTGCGATTAAGAAAGAGCCCGTGAACGTGGACTCGGAAGTTCGGCCCTGGTGAGAATTATGTAAAACGTAATCGTCTTTTTTTCCCTTGTATTCTCTTCCCTATCTCTTGCCTGGACTCCCCCCTTTGTTCCCCTCGTCTCTTCCCCTCCAATTTACTTCCGTGGAATCAAATTTCACGATCATCTTTGTGATCTCGAACTAGCAGGCTACGCATAGAGAGGGCGCAGCGTATATCTGAGATCCCCCCCCTCTTATCCCCATCCATCATTACCAATTTCAATTCACCTCATGCCAACCCTCGAATCAAATCCCGTGGCGTTGTACTTTTTTCCCCCTACCCATCTCCCCGTGTGTCCGAGAACTCTATCAAACGTTGATGTGAATGAGTATGTAAATCGTCTAGGCCGCGTGATACGAGGTGGCGGTCTCGTCTACTACGTCGTTGAAAGTCAAACACCACAGTACTGGCTCTCCGAAATTGAGCTCGTTCCACGATCCACCTAATAGCACGACGAGAATTTTTTTTCTTATTAATCCCGCTTCCACCGCCGGAGTTATCACCTCAAGGCTTCTAGTAAATTGCGCCTTCTTGTCCCCCCTTTGGCTAGAGGTCAGATGAATGATATGAGACCCTCTACACACCGCACGGACCCAGATCAGACAATTTTATGGTAGCGCGACGCGGGTCCTTTCCTCGGCGGGCAAAGTAGTTCATTGATGTAATGTAGCGGCCAGAACATGAAAAGCAAGGGAGATTCAGATATATCAAGTTACCGGGTTCTGATAAGTACGAGCCTGGGTAAGGGGAACAAACAGGGCTTGGTAGTATTACTGTTCGCCAAAAATTCGGAGATATCGGATTAACGAGTGGAAGACTAGTTATGACATTCCGATAGCTAAGACGAGTCGATATGAAGCTATGAGTCATAGCGTGGCGCGAGGAATGTCACTCGATTTCGCATCCGACACCGGCTGCGCAGGGCGCCAGCGTCTAGCGTTCCCTATTCGATCCGTCCCTAAATTCGGGTTCAAACGCTCTCGAAAATATTCAGGTTCTCACCGGAGTTGGAACTCGACATTGATGAGAAATCAAAACATGTTATTGAGAAATTGTTGATATATCTCAAGCCCGGGTCCTTCTGATATTACTGTCCCGAAAATACCGACATACCCGATTGACGAGTAGAGTACCCAATAGACGGTGAGGGGAGTCGTATGAGCATAGCGTGGCACGGGGATTATTACTCGATTCCACATTCGTCCGAGAACGAACCTAGCAGAAGGACATAAATTTTGACGCGAGGCAATGGAACCATGCCCAAGATTTTCTCAGAATAACACGTTGTAAAAAATCAGAACTCGATAGAGTCATTTCACGTGGAACCTACTGTTATCTGTACGGAATTTAAGCCGTAGTACTAGCAGGTGCGTTGATTTACGAGGCGCGAAGTGACTTTTCTCAGGTTTCACCCCAAAGATATATCACAAGTCGGGGTCTGATAATGATCCGAGCCTGGGTACGCCTGATTTCACTGCACAAGGAGAAACAGCTCCACCTCATATCGTTCATTCGAGTTTTGCACTTTTTGAAGGCCCTTGCTCGGAAATGAGTGCCAGTTCGACATCGCTACACGTGAGATTGTATTCCCAGAATAACACTCCACGAGGCAATCGAACCATGCCAAAGATTTCTCTCTATTGTCGAAGGACTCCCGGAAATACTTAACACCTTGGGGGAGTTAGAACTCGATATCACATCACCAGCCTCTCATTCCACGAATAATTAAAGTAGTCAAAGGAGAGGCAGAAGTTTTCATTTAGTCAGCCAAAGTACAGGCAAGGTACTCACAAAGTAACTTGTTCACGGGTTCCATACAAATAAAATGTATGATATATAAATTGCCGACAGCGCCGGTTCTGATGCAGTTCGGTGATACCAGCCTCGAGGAGAGGAGAGAGCGAAGCAAGAATCCGCATCCGCCTATTGAGTCGTCGTTCTGCATTTCGTATAGAAAACTCGAAGACGTTCGCCCGGAAATATCAGCTCGAGGACGAGACATCGCAACACGTGAAAATAGTATCCCCAAAAAAATAATCCACGTGGTCACCGGTCGAAGGGAGAGTTCATCTTCCCGGGGATACAGCGGTCCCTCGTGCTCTCATATGCAGGGTCGCGTCAGCTCCAAGATCTTAATTAACGACGCAGGGTTCAGGGTTTGAAAAGACCTACTTTGCTCAGAACTTAGTTCTCGGGACTCGGAAGATCAGTCCCGGCGGCTTCGTCCTTATCGATCGATCATATTTTTGCTCCCATGGAGGCATCGGGGGCGGGATCCTCGATCGTTGGACGGGGGAGTTTCGTTTTTGCAGCAAGATGGGTAAGGAGAATGTACAACTTACTACAAGGGAGAAAAAGAGAGAGGCTGAGGGGCCAGGGCGGAATACACAGCCACAACTTAAGCTGCCAAAGAGATTTGTCCTGCCGTGAAACGGAGCTAAGTAGTTGAAGTACGTAGGCGCGGAAGGAACAATAACCCCAAGAACGAGAGTACGTGATGGAGATAAGGTTCCTCGCTAGACATGTACATCTGTCGCCGATAAGAAGAGCGCAACGTCGAGGAATAGAAAGCCACGTCTGATCGAAAGATGGAAAGAGGTCCACTTCAGCGGCCGTTGACTTGACGATCTTACGAGAAGAGTCCTCATAATGCACGATCCTAACGACGAGAATAATTGGCTGTATTTAGTGATCTGTGGGGAGGGTGGGAAGAAACCGGAAAGATAGAGTGGAGACGAAGGAAAATTGGATTGGAGGCGAGTGTATTCCTTTAGTGTGAATTCACTTCATCAGGCATCGCCAAAATGCTACAATCTCTGGTAATATATTGGTTAGTACACGCGCCTGCCATTTGCAATTCGGCGTTCTGAACGCGCAAAAGCTGGGTTCGACTCCCAACCAGAGAGGGCAAGGGTGATGTTACTTGTTGAATTTTGCAGCCTTAAGACCCTCAAGGGCTAAGGTCCAACTGACTCCAACACTTTCGAAATTCGAATGATTGGAGTATCGTAACGTTTTGAATCTCCTGATTATCTTCGTGCAGGAGTCCTTGACTGATTCGTCGGCATGCTGAAGGAAAGCATGCAATTCAGGTCGAACGCTCATCTTAACGTTGCATTGAAGGAGTCGCTCAGATGGTACCGCAGAGGAGAGGAAAGCGAAACAAGATGCTGAAGTGGAATAGAACCAACATAACACAACGGTTCAGCGACCTCTCGAAAGTGGACGAGGGAATGGTAGAGATGGTCCCCTATCAATTATTAACGATCCCTGATAAATTATAATCGAGAGAAAGTACTCCCGACAAGCGTTCACACGACCAGGGATCAGACTCGGATCCAGTCGGTTGCGAGACACTAGCTGGGGACAAAGGCTTCGTCCTGAAATGCCAGTCAAATATCAGTCCTTGCGAAAGAAGGGAGAATGACGCCAAGTACAACGCTATCTATACCCGGCCGCAGATGTTCGTGACCTAACTCGTGCTTGATGGTGAGGACTTGATAAAATTCGACGCACGGGGATAATTAACCAGTGGAAGGGCAGCAATCACTCGGTGTGGGAAAAGCCAATTGAAGGGAAGAAAGTCCGTTTTCAAGACAAAGTGGAGATGAATAGACACTACGGCCGGCGTACCGGACTGTGAGCATAGTGCAATGATACAATTGACTTTAATAAAGTCAGAAGACAATAGACTCGACTGTCCCATGCGCTACATGCTTTTTGGAACATGTGCGTTTGGTGGAAGGCACACATAGGATGATGGTAGAGCATGGATTGGAATCTAATGATCGGCAGGTACCTTGAAGAGCACAGCATTGGAACATGATACTTAAGTCGTGACAATTTCAGTCATCGAACTCGGGGTGGCTGGAGGAGAGGCTAGAGCTCGCTATTTTCCTAACAGCGAACACGAGGCTAGGTGTGCCAACATTGGAGAGATAGGCTAGTGTTATCAATGGGAGCGGAATCTTTTCGCGGAGTGATGAAAATGCCTAGAGCAAACAGACAGAGACTTGAGACCGGTTGCCAGGAGAGAATATTACACGGTATCTGTATAGGCGGTGATCCAGAGGACAAAGCAAATGTGCGAATGAACATGGATGAATCTCGTATCACTGGATCGCACACATTGCTGAGATACCCGAATGTTTTGGGAAGAACGGTTCAGGCGGTATGGGATAACAGATTCTTAATGGCAAATCACAGTTACAGAAGAAAAATAATATCTGCTCGCGAGCTAAAGAATCTGCGAGCGAATTCAGTTAACCGCAGACACTTGGCAGACACTAAGCAATCGCAAGACCGAAATCCCTCGTGTGTGGAGTGTAGAACGAAACAGAGAGGATAAAGTTGAATAATGTAGGGTAGTAATCAGTACCTGCGAAGACGTATTCCAGAATATCGTACCACCTGATCTCCCATTTGTGATGTTTCTTCACCAAAAAATAATGACTTTTTCCAGTGTGCACTGAAATAGTTCAGAGAGTATGTATACATTGGCGTATAAGTGATATAGAGACGATCCAGAGGCAGCGTAATCACCGGCGACAAGGTAGTGCAGTATGGTGTTGCTGAATTCCAGTTGAGGATGAAGGACCAATGCGCGGTCAACGCAGCACGCTTGGTAGATACGAGAATGACGGTGAACACAACATTTGCTATAACAGGTGGTAGGCATCCGCGACGTAGATGCCAGAGATGTGATTCGCGTTGAAGGGGCAGTGAGGATAAAATAAAGTTCGAGAAAGCATGACGCACGTTCGCACATCACGGAATGGCCACGTAAAAACAGTTGTTCGTGGGATTGGATGATGACTGAAATACAGTCCGCATTATACAAATGGGAATATTAGAAGAGGAGAGGAGGCAGTGGTTTTCAGGAGAAGTGGCCTCACCCCTCAGGGGATAGGAAAAATTGCGCATTGGGAGGGAGGAGACGTCTGGAGGGCGGCTCGGTTGAAGCGCTGTTTCCCCGGATTTATCATGTATGGATACATCTGGGTATATAGCCAGGACTGGGAGAATCTCGGACGGAGTCCTTTTGGCGCATGCAAGGATACCAATGGATGAATACTCACCGTGCGTAGTGAGAATTAACCGAACAGTCAAGTATAGTTTAACGTTGACATGGTAACAACTAATTGAGATCCTGTGCCGGACAATTCAGTGGGGAGAGAAGATCTGCTGCGGAGCCGATGGAGGAGGCAAGGTCGCTCGTTTCGCAGACTTTCATAGCGAGTGCATGTAGTCTCTCTGAGTCTGAAAATAAACCACAGTCTGAGGACCTGTTTGAAGGCAAAGTCAAGGATAGAATACAGATTAATCCCGGAAGTGCATTGACCAAGGAAGCTCAGTAATATTTCGGTAGAGCCATACACATTGGGGTAACAACGATCATGGCATCCAAAGCTGAAATTAGACCTGAAATTGACCCTCTTTTACAGCTGTTTGCATACAACTTGACAGTCAGGGGGGTTTTCGTGGATGATGAAAGAAGCTCGGACTTCGTCATAAACCGTGTTTTGCGGACTTCATGCGCACGAAATGGCCTCCGAGATCGCCGAAATGGCCATAAACCACCCACAAACGCGACACCAAGCCCTTAAACCGCGGTTTATGACGAAGTCCAGATCACTCTCTTCTCTCGTGCAAAACGCCCGCTACTGTCAAGCTGTTTGCAAACAGCTGTAAGGCGCTTCTCCTTTTAGAGGGTTTGGCTATCAGGCTAAGCTCAGATGACTTTCCGCAAACCTTAGTAAGACCTCGCGAGTCGCGAAGCAATGGGAGGCTCAGAGGTACAGTTCGCCGAAGGGAGCATAGCCTCTAAGTTTTATTGAAGAGAGGTACAAGGAATCCAGCAAGAGTCGAGTGTCAGGAAATCAAACTGCTCACAGAAAGCGTGTTGATGTGTAGTACTAGTAGCGGTTGAGAGGCAGTGACGTCGGACTACCGGCCCGATTTTGAACTCACTTCGACCGACGACCGGGGTATGCCGGATGGCCTTTTTTCTTACTGTCGCTTTCTATGAGCCCACCGCGAGGGCGCATCGTTTCTCCATTAAATACATTCTCACGCGCTGTCGGGTTTAAAACCCAGTAGACACTTATCGCTCTAGCCTCAATTATTGAAAGTTGATTCTCCTGTGGCGATGAACTAAGCTAAGTTTCAGGTGCTTTCGTAGTTTCCTAGTTATGTATCAAAGGAATTTCGTTATCTCATCTCGTTCCTCTGATGTATATTGTAGTTTTCAGGACCATGGTATAGCGTTCGCACAACCATGCTATCTGTATGAACCGGAATGTAACAGGGGTATTGGTACAATGACGCTCGGACACCTTATCTCGAGCCTCCTGTATCTATTAGATTTGTTAACTGTGATACGAATCTCTCCATTCTGGACTCTTAAGTATCTCCAGTTTCATTAACATATCCAGGAACATTGCTCACTGGACGATTCCTTCTAGACAAAACCGCTGGCGGTCCAATTCAAGTTTTGATATTATCGGAAATGGAATGATCCCCCACTTCACGGCACGCGCGCACACACGGCTCACGGACCGCGTTGACCCGAAGACGCGTCCGCTCCTTAATTAAGTCGCGTGAGAACTAATCGTTAGTTGCCGCGATTGCTCAGGGTTAACTTGACGACGACCATCAAGCAGTGCTCATTGAGCGGCTCCCGGCATTGCCGCAGCAGTCCTCTCGCTGACTCCATGGCCTCCAAGAGTAAGCCGTCTCTCCGTCCTGGAAGGGGACGCCAGCGAAAAGGTGTCCTTGCTGTTGATACCCATATAGGGTCCTACGACCGCACGGACCCGTTTCGCGCGTTCAGCGTCCTGGCAGGTCTCCTGGGATCCTTAGCTTCGCGTCTTGGAGGGTGCCAATACAAGCTCTCGCCTGAAGAACACAAACTTTCGCTTCACCTCCTTACAATTGTTGAGCTCTACATTGGCGGTGCCCCTTCCCAGCGCACCCTCATTACGCGTCAGCCTACCGAGATTCTCGACGCCATCGTGTTCCACATCGACTCGAAGCAGGACTTGTTAGCGCTGGCCTTATCCTGTCAGCGTATGCATGGCATCGTTATTCCCCGGCATCTGGACTATAGAGTCCTGCGATGCAAGGTCAGCTCGATCAGCATGTGGAACCACTTGATCGTCAATCGATCCTTGGCGAGGAACGTGAGGAAGCTGGAGATTTTGGACGAGAGGACGTCGATGGATGCACTGAGGATACCAGGAGGAATTGTGGGCACGGATACCGACTTGGAATCCACAGACGACGAGCTAGCAATGCACGAAAAGCAGGAGAGATATCTCGTCTCTGCATTGACGAAGATGACTGCATTGAACATGTTCGTGTGGTCGTGCAATCACTCCCCGATCTCTATCGATAATGTTTGGCCTACTTTATTGAAGTGTCATTCGTTATCTGAGGTCGAGATTCACGATAACATGGTCTTCGGACCGACATCCGATGAAAATAGTCACGCGGCTCGTTCTCTTGTCGTAAGTTCTTCTCTAACGTTTTTCTTCTGATGCTCATTATCGTCAGCTTCCATCGGTCAAAACCGCGTCATTCCAATCCACGAAGCACATCTATGGCTCATGTCAGAATCCAGAGCTGGGTCGTATCAAAGACATGCTCAATCACTGCCCCAATCTCGAGGTATATTTCTTTCCAAATTCCAACTCTCCCTTTTATTGACGTGATCCAGGATCTCAACATATCCTACGCCCGTCCTCGCCCCCCATTCGCCGCTTATATACCGGCAGATGAACTTTTCCTGTACGGCCGCTGGCCCAGCCTCACCACACTGACCCTCACAAACCTCCGCGGAGCCAATGATACGGCATCTGCATTCTTATCCGCCCATCCCAGCTTGGAGGTCCTCAACCTTGACATC